ATATGGCAATACACACACACACACACACACACACACACACACACACACACACACGTACGTACCTAACTACCTAACTACTAGTGTAACCAACCATAACCTTGTACAATGTAATGGTTTACATTATGGGTCATTGTGTTGTCTCCCCTAAAGGAAGGTAAGTCCCGACAGTGTGACTGTAAACAGATTTATGTCCCCACAACATGAGCAATACATGTCCACACATGGACAGACACACACTATACTACAAACACCTCTGCTGGAAGAATACCACCTGATTAGACTACAGTCAGTCATTTAATGATAAAGTAGGCTGGTATGTTTTTGTTTGTATGCAACCATTTTAACCAGAGTGTATGGGAATTATACAACCACAGTAGATGTGTTGGTTTTATAAGAGGCTGAACTTAATAGTTAAATTCCCAGCCCAATTCTGAATTTAATGTTGTTTGTTTTACTTTTGCCAAGTCTTTCCAAGTTACTTAATTAAGTGTGTAAATGATGATGAATCATATTCTACAGAGTACAATTAAAACATCTTTTTTTAAAGATGGTCCATGTAATTGGTGTTGTCTTAGAGCTGATGGAGAACTGGATTGTGGGTAGAGAAGAAGAGAGCAGAGTCTACTCACCCAGTCCTAAGCAAGATACTCTGAGTCCTGACTTCCCAAGGTTCCTGTGAAAAAAGAAAAAAAAGGAATCAAATATCCTGTACACAGAAAACATAAAGTGACATTTGGTTGATAAAGAATGAGCTATTAATGTTAGTCATCACAAACTACCTTCACATTGTTAAAAATGAGATTTTGTTGGACTTTTCAACCTGTAATAGATAAAAAAAACTGTATTCAACATGATGTCAGCGAGATGGACAGCCAAGTGAATAACAAGCAGGCCTTTCATTTTTCCAAGAGGCTGGATGTGGCTCTGCTTCAGATAATCACATGACAGCTTGACAGTGCTTCTGATTTCTCCACGACAGGAAGTTGAATTTCACTCTCCCAGACCTTCAGGTCACTCACTATGTCTAAACAGGTGCTTGTATGTATGTGGGGGAAAGCCTCAGTGTGCAATTAAATGGTTATCTGCCCTTTAATGCTACTGCTCAATATCCATGTCAGCGGGGAGGAGAACAAACACCCAAGAACAGTGAGAGAAACCAGACGAGAGGACGAGACATTAAAGCAAAACATCAACACACTGATCAGACAAAATGGAAAACACTAATTGAAACACTGCATGCAACAGTGAAAAATATAAATGAAAAAGAAAATTACAGCTTGTATACTGCAGGATGGAGATTAAGTGCGTCTGTGTATAGATATTCAATGCATCTTATTAGCTTGCTAATAGCCTCATTAGCTGTGCCATTAACACCACACACACGCAATCACCGCTAAAAAAAATAGCTTTGTTTTTGGTTTGTATAGTATATAAATGCATCCCTAGATAAATATAGTAATTAATGTACTTTTATAAACCCACACCTGCCTTTGCACCCTCATTAATAAAATCAAGCACATGCTGACGATACTGTCTACAGCAGCTGAAGTCATTGCCATTTTACCCTCCTCAGCTGGAGATCTCCTCTGAAACGGATACATTAGAATTATTACTAGCATTATTTTTGCTGTTGCTATTAATATCTTCACAATGTCTATTGTCTAATGTCCATTTACCCATTTAAGGTACACGTATATATACACTTTGTAACTATATACACATATATATCATATGTTACACATCAAAAAGACACAGAGCAAATTAATATGTTCATATCTTCATTTGGAATCAAGCTTTGGCAACCTGATGAATGTAAGTCCGATATTGACTCTCCTTCTAACTCTGTTTTGGTCTCTCCACCAACTCCTAAAGTAAATAACGGGCACTTTATAGCTGCTAAATGGTCTAATATATCCACTTGCTCAAGTTGCTTATTTTGTCGTTTGGCATTGTATAAGGAGCGTACAGTAGGTTTTTAAAAACAGCCAGCAGCAATAAGTGCGAGTGAAGCAAAACCAAAAAAAGTAACTGAAAGTTTCTTGACAGGACAACGGGAAGGATTACAGTTATACAGCAGAGGTCATCTGTTCCAGTACGGCGGGTCGATTGGCAGATCCCTGCCACGTCCAATCAAGCCTGAGTAACAGTTATTGTCCTGTCATGTCAGCTTCCTGTGAGAGCACGCCATGGACTGATGACTAAACTGAACTGATGCTACAGGACACACACACACACAC